AAAAAAAAAAAAAAAAAAAAAAAAAAACAAGCAAAAAACGAGACTGAACAATCATCTGCTTTCTTAAGTTACTTAGTTGAAGGACACTTCATCGGGGATTCAGTCTTTGTGCTTTGAGATCTTGTAAACATTATTTTTATATTGAAATGACTTTGGTTTAACTTGCTTTATCTTTAAATCTGTTAACAATCCATTAACTGGTACTTGCTTACACACTTAGCGTATTTATTTGGTAGATCTGGGCATCAGTCATCTGCCCTTCGGGCGCAGCCCTCAGGCATGTGCCACCAGTCAGGGAAGCATCCTAGAGGTGCTGTTTGAGCCTCTGGGGCAGGAGTAAATTGTCCAGGTCTTGCCAGAAACCAGCATGAAATCTAGGTGGAGTTAAAACAGACTTGTGTAAGATAATATACTTGAATTTGAAATCCTAGGACAAAGGCTTTCTAAGCCTGACTTTTAAAGTCATAAAACATTAAAAGAAAATGGTGATAGACTTAAAATACACAGATATGATGACATTGTTCTGACCCTCTCTGAGAGAAGAATGTGGTTCAAGGAAGCCATCAGTGTGGTCTCCACCTCCCCTCTCCGGGCGTCCCCATCTCAGGATGCATTGATTTTCTAATCAGGCCGTGACCTCGCCTTATTAGCAGTGGGAGTAGCGTCTGCCCATCCCTCTGAGTAGTCCAGCCTGGGGGCCGGGAAGGGTTCTCCTGAACTGCGAGGGACTCCCCACTCCGGATAAACTGATCTGTCACCTGGCAACCGCAGGATTACGACAGTGGATGTTCACGAAGCCCCTGTGAGAGGGGCCTAGGTATTTGAAGGGCAAGAAGGGCAAGGAAGTTGGCAGGTTCTGGGAGGACTGCAGTTTGGCAGAAGAGGCGTGAACGCCGTCACGTTAGAGGGTTAGAGGGGTTCATCTTCCCATCTGTACTTTGCCTTTTCAGCCTTGGGCCTCAGAACAAAGGAGGAGACAGCTGGCCAAGGGAAACATGGGTCCTGTGGGGGCTGTCATGACTGCAGGTGAAACCCCAGGGTTGACCCTGGTGTTCTCTCACCTAAGAGATCTGGGGCTGAAAGGTGAAGAATCCTGGCTGCTTGCTGGACCACCTTGAGCCTCTGAGTTGGAAGGACATTGATTCAAACAAAGGGATGAGATAGCTAGAAGTGAGAGCCAAAGCGAGCAGGGCCATCTCCAGGAGGGGTGTGTGTGTGTGTGGTTCTGGGCCTGGAACCCAGGACCTCACATACGCTGGGCATGCACTTTACCACTGAGCTCCCCCCAGCCCCCAAACCTGCTTTCTAGGGGCAACCTCTGGCCCTATGACTCAAAGATCCTTGGTGAACACTGCTGTGAGATAGCGTGTCATTCCTGCTGCCCCAGACTCGGGTGCATCTGTCCGCGAGGGGCAGGTACAAGTCACCACCGGAAGGGGCCTGGCAGGGTGAGGTTGTGTCTGTAGGCAGTTAGTGTATCAGTCACCCAGATGAGATTCCAGTTCTCACTGTGCTTTAGCAGTGGCAGGAGCAATCCTTGAAGTGCTAGAGCTTATGCTGGGGAGAATATTTTGACTGAAATTTTGCATATTTTGAAACTCGGGTTGTTACATTTAAAATTATACACATTGTGAGCACTTGGCTTCAAAGGAGAGGGAAGAAAAAGCATTCCTTCCTGTCAAAACCTTTTCACTCTGTCTGTCATGTAACCTGACTAAAAATAAACTACAAGCAGCAGAAGTGGCAGCCTTCAGTTTGGAGCAGGCTAAGTGCTCCCGACCGTGGGGCCCGTCTGCTGCTGGCACCACACAGGGGCTCTCGTAGCTCAGCCCTCTGCCAGGGATGCTGGCGCACAATCCTCGTGAGGCAGGAACCCAGGGGCAGGATCGTTGCCCTTCATGAAGTGGGCCACACAATCAGAGTTACCTGACCCAGCCCCGGGCCCACAGTCAGTCCTGGCTCCTGCGTGGGGTGGGGGGTGGCATCTCAGGGCCTCAGTTTCCTTGTGTATACCTGTGAGTGATCACAGTCCACATGTCAGCCTCCTGCCCACACTTTGTGTGTCTTACTCCATCTTGTCCTTACGGGGCCTGTGCGCTCTGTCCTCAGTGTCTCCCTGTTTCCAGATAAGGGGACTGAGTGACAGGCCTGGTCCTTACCCCAGTGCCTGCCCCGTCACCCTGTGCTCTGCTCTCCCTCCTCACTCCGTACTCCTCGGTCACCTGGCTCCTGTCCCCATTGTGCCACCAAAGCAGGCCTCAGAGACCTCAGACTCAGCACGTCAGGTGGCATTTCCACCCCAACCTTGCTGGGCCCTCCTGTCACGTGTAACCCTGTGGACTTGTTCCTCCTCCTGGTCATCAGCCTGGTGGGAAGAGCAGAGGCTTGGAGACCCCCGGACCTTAGTAGCCGTAAGGTCATGACAAGGTGGCCTCCCGGAGTCTCAGAACTGCCCTTTGCTGTGAGAGGAGGGTGGTCATGCCAGCCTCACCGAGCAAGGGCTAGGAGATGACGTACATGAATCTTTGTGCACAACTCTCGGAAAGCGCTCACCTATGAACTTCCAGTATTGCTGCGGAATCCCTTCCCTGGTGTGCACAAATGCTATAAACCCCTAGTCCTTAAATAACATGTCCTAATTTTACTCTTGCCTCAAATCTTCTTCCTGGTGAAGATTGGCTGTCTCCCTTTATGTTAGAGTAGAAAACAGTAGTGTGGCTATAGCCCGTCTTGAGCTTATGAACGGGTCTTACTCTTCGGCCCCACTGCAGTGGGACTCTGCGTGCTTATCTAATCAGGATAATAGCTCGATTTCAGTCTCACTTCTAACTGAGTTTCAGAGGAGTCCCGTTATATTTATTTTGACTATAATCTCAGTCCGCTTTACCCTCTAGTTATTTTGTAAAGAAAGCACCATAAATAGAGTAGTTAAAACAAGAACTCCACAATACTGGACTATCCTAAGACTTTGCCACTGGACGCTGAAGGGATTGCCAGTGGGCCTGGATGGATTTATTGGTCATTGTTTTTGTTGCTTTGGTGAACATCCTGTCTTAGGGAACATGTTACCCTTCAGTTTTTATAATCATTCTTCTGTATATGATTAAACTCCTGCAGATTCCCTCCTCTGATCTGCTGAGGTGGTCAGGGAGCCGTCTTCCTTGCTCAGCATCTGGAAAATTGCTTCTGGCCTTTGGCATCTTTCCTGTGGATCAGAGCAGGGAGCAGTGTTCCTCCAGTACCCTGGGCTGTGTGGCCGCAGTGGAAGGCTGCCGGCCTACGCTCAGCACAGACGCCCACAAGCCTGCACCCTGGCTTAGGTTTCAGGGGTATTCACTCGGGGCTGGCGTCTGTGACTGACCCCGGAGGGCGTGTGGGGCCCGCTGCCCACCCTTGGCCAACGTGCCCGGGTGCAGACGCGCTCCCGTCTCCTCCGTCCTCCGTCAGACTGCTGTGTCATACCCCTCATTTGCCGTCAGAGTATGAGGGTGTGGAGTTCTCTTTTTCCCCGTGAAAACAACACAGAACAAAGCCTCAGTTTTAAAAATGCCATGGTATTTTGCCACCGTTATGAAAATCTGTCAGCGCTGTTATCTAATCTTCTGATGCATGGAGTATCAAAACAAGCACTATTGAAGGGATTGCACTTCTGTTAATACAAAAATGTCAGCTTCCCAGTCTCAGAACCAGCTGCCGTCAGCCTCTTCCAAATGTGAAAGGAAAAAACATTAAAGTTTCTTCCCCTTGCTGTTCCTGTTCTCCAGGCTTGACCTTCGTAAGAAGATGCAGCGTAAACAGCACCTTGCCGAGGTCCTTCGCTCAGAATACTCAAGTGGGCTGGAGGCTGCCAGCACCAAGGTCAGGCAGCCCGGCACACAGGAGGTCGGCAGCCAGCACCCTGCAAGCCGGGGCCGTGGGAAAAATCAGGCGGTGCCTCCTCGAACCACAAAAACCTGGAGAGGCCAGCAGAAGGGTAACAAGGCCTCGCAGACGGCTTTTTAAGTCAACGCGGCTGATCTCGGTGGATCCCAGAGGCCGCAGTGGCACTGGATTGATGTCTTATCTGAAAAATACTTGTGACCTGTTTCCCTGAACACCAAGTCCCAGGACACACCGGAGCCAGGGGCCTGATCAGAAGGAGTGGCACAGGGGCCCTGGGCACAGAGCCAGCCAGCACTGACTGCAGGAGGGCGTCACAGCGAGGCCACAGACTCCGTGTGTGGGGCAGCCCCGTCCACGCAGACTGACTGCTGTGAAGCAGGGTGTTAAAACTGGATTGGAATTTATACCAAAGAAGAGAAAATTGTACTTGTCAAGCAGTTACTTTGTTAATGTACACGTGCCTACTTTGTTATAAGGGACCAAGAGTTTTAGTCTGGGTTGAAAACGGGACCGCGTTTGCTGGCCTGCTCTGCGTGCCCGGCTTTCCCTTTCATGTGCACGGAGAGACGCACTCGGGGCTAATTGATTTACTGTTCCTTTTTGTTGTTTGCCTTTGAAGTCAAAAGGCACCAGTGCTGGCCTGAGCTCTTTTCTTCCTCATCAAATCCAGCCTTGCCTTCAAGAAAGGTCTGGTGTCTCTGTGTGGCGACCCCGACCCATCTGCCCCCCACTGTGTTTCCTGGGAGGCCGGAGGACCCCCGGAATGTATTGATTTCCCAATAAATGTCAGCCTCAGACACAGGACACACCACCCTGTCCGGGCACCGCCTCTCTCTTCCCTCCCGTCCCGTCCCCTTCCCGCTCTGCGGTTCCTGTGCCCCTCTGGCTTTCCTGGGATGTGTGCTGAGGTACCCCAGGCCAGCAAGGACTCCCTGGCCCAGAGAAGGCGGTGGGCCTGGCAAGAATGGATCCCTCAGGAGGAAACGGGGCCTCCTCAGAGTTCCTGGGGACTGTTCATGACATTTGTACCGACGATTTTTTAAGAACGACACATATCCAACTAGCCTTGGGTAAATCTGCCATCTCGTGTTTGGTGTGATGGCTCACATGACTTGGGTGAGGATGAGGCAAACAAAACTTCATAGGTGAAGCACAGCTGTGTGACAAGCAGGCCCAGAGCCAGGCATGGGGAGGACCAGAGAACTTGGGTCCATAAAGGGGAGCAGGCAGGGCTTTCTGAGTGTCGGCGACTGTCACCCCAAGATTGAAACTTGCACACATAAATCTGCCAACTCAGGTTGTCCTGCCAGAGATGCTGTGGGCTTAAATCAGCGGCTCACCCAGTTAATAAAGAAACATGGATTTAGCAGATTTAGGGTTAATATTATCTAAATTTAAATAACCTTCAAATAAATCTCTCCTCACTCTTGACAGATTATACATTTCAGGCATCAGTTAGGCAAAGCTTTAGCCTAATTCCACTGTACATAGTCTAATTTTGTGTGTTTTTAATCATGCCTCTGTTTCTGATTTCTGAAACTTAGCCATTTCTCTCTGACATCAGCCCATTACCATGTTAAAGGCACAGATCATTCAGACATTTGCTGACGGGCTGTGGCCTGAAGCTTTTTCCCGGGTGGGCTTGTGGAAGGCTTGGTGCCGGTCCACAGAGCCGGTTCTCAGGCCTCCAGCAGAGATCCCCGTGGTGGACAGCATCCTCTGCCCTTACCAGACAGCACCTCGAAGGACACTGACAAAGCCCACGAGGTCCCTTTGACTTTTTTCTTTTCCCCCAGAGTGAAAGGAGTGAAGGGCCTGAGGTGTGGTCCCAAGCAGCCACGGTCTTGCCAAGCTCTTCCACACTTCACAGCCCGTCAGTGGGAGCTGTTAAAGTCCCAGAGCCCCTGCCCCTGCCCCGAGACAGGCGGAAGGCTTTACCTCCCCGAAGCTGCCCTGCTTGAAAAGGGTGCCTAACTGGTCTCCTTCGATGGCCTGCATGACCCTTAGACTCTTCATCTGCTCCACCATTGGAAAGATTGAGAGCAAGGCCTGTCCCAGGGCGGGGTACCACACTTGAAACCGGCCCACTCTTGGGCGGGCAGGTCCCCAAAGCCCTGCGCCTGAGGGCTGGGCGGCTGAGCGCTAGGCCTCCGCTGCCCCTCCCCGGGGAGTCCAGGCTGGTGAGAGAGGACGGGCCAGGAGCCTCTTCCACTGCCTTGCTGTTGGGGTGAGGGAGTCTCCTGGCCTCCCTCAAATGCTCCCATCCCACAGATTGGGGACGCAAACCATTTGGAGGCGAGAAGGAACCCACCTCGCTGTAGATGAGCTATTGCAGGTGGGGACTGCAGGACAATTCAGAGCACTGTAATTATAGACTTGTAAGGAAGCCTTGTTCTTCATTAATGTAGGGTATGAAATCGCCTCTGAGGTACAAGGGCGGTTACATAGTTGAGAATGTGCCTGTGATTTACACTGTGGCTGTGTAAATGTAAGGGTGGTTGCTCCAGCCTACCTCCTCCACTTTCACAAAATGAAAAGCACACCAGTGCAAGTTGTCCTTTGATAGATTTTTAATATGATTTTAAAGAGTTTTGTTTGGTCTCATTCTTATTCAATGAGATTAATTTAAAGCACTTATCCCCCGGGTTTAAGTCAATCCATGTAGGATTTGGGCAGGGTTTGTTGCCTGGGGGGTTTTGTTTGCAGGAGGCTATGAGAGAGTCCTTTCTCACTTCATTAACCCTGAGTTGGGGACAGTCCCCCCCACCCCGGCCCCCCGCCGCAGCCAGAGCTGGGGATTTACCAGCCCCCATTCACATGCAAAAGAACTCAAAAGCCGAGGGCCCCTTGACTTAATTAGCTGCTGTGCATTTTGCAAAATTAGAATAAAGCCCTCACCATCCCAGGAAGAAGGGGGAGGAAACAGTAGCAGACCTGTGAGTCTGGTTTTGGGGGGTTACAGCCTGAACGTGGCCGCCCGTCTCCGCCCCGTCTTCTCCCAGAGCCGGCCTGCCGCGGCCTGCTGGGCACCCAGACTTGCCTCCCTGGGCCCTTTGCTGCAGGTGGTGTGCGGAGCAGTGCCTGAGCCCGCTTCCCGGGAGAGGGACCGGTCTTGGGAGGAGGTGGTGACCTTGGCCCCGGGACGTGATCTGGAGTCTGGCTGCAGACTCAGAGCCCTCCCTCCCCTGAGATCCTGGGGCCGGACAGGGGTTTTGGCTCTTTTCTGGGTCTCACTTCGAACTTCCTCCCAGGGCGACGGGAAAGTGAGGGGTTGCGAGAGAGGGGGTTACCCGAGACGGCGTCAGGCCCATGGAGAGGGCACACAGGCCCGGGGCCGCTCAGTGCCCACCAGTGTCAGGCCCGATGGGCGC